CATCATCAATTGCCAAGCTACATGTATCGTAGACATATGACTCAGATCGTTTAAGCTACGTTACAAATCCGAAATACACAGGAACATACACATTGTAGGTCGGTATGCGTAGTGACACCGATGTACTCAAAATTACCAATAGGATGTACGAAAGTTCTAAATATTTAGACAGCACGCCAATAGATAGGTCATTAGGTCCACTCATAAATGAAATGGAGCTGACTTTACACTTCAGTCATTCGGCAAATTAATAGCACCTATAATAGCTGATTGATAAAAAGATACCAACCCTGGTCGTTAAGGTGTACCTTTAGGTACGGCAATAGTACATATCCCATGGAATACTGTTGAACTAGTTAAAATGGAATTGCAACAAGTCGGTCGTATCTAATTTTGCTTGTTTACTTGTATAATACAAAGCCGTTTGAAAAAGTTTGAGGGTTTTAGGCACAAACTCTATCCTTAAAAGTAACCAGAATTGCGCCTCATTCTCTCAGTCTCAGATATAGAGTATTGCATTGCATTTCCATGTGCATGTGTGTCATTTTGTTAAATCTATTGATATAGAACTAAAATGCTAACACATGCAACACCGTAAGTTTGTTTTTGGGCCGTCGCGGAACCCATGCTGCTCGGGGTCCTAGGTACGTACCTTGCGTGCCTATGCCTTAATCGGCACTGCTAGTATTTCTGCGTCCGTCAGTTGTATAAACTACATGTATAATATGACACCGTATCGATCGTACTACCTTTATCAAAGTTTTTCTGTCCACTGAACAATCACGTGGGTCGTCAACCATTGACTCAATAGTAAATACGATAGGTTGAAAAAGTCACTCAGTATGAACGAAACCATTATCAACTAATAAAACGTATATATTAGGCGTGTGAAGAACTTGTTATCTAAAATCTAGTGACGTACAAGATCAGATTTGTTTGCACAAAACATTCAAACCTACTCCGGTACACATGTAACCTCGAATAAATAATAAAATGTAAAAAGTATCAGTTTAAATATACATGATTGCAATGCACCTTAGTATATTTCCACAAGGACAAAAATACACGTTTATACCAACTTACAAAACCAATCCAATATACAGCAAAATGTAAGGCAAAACGATTCGAAATAACAATAACAGAAATAAAAGTCTAACACAACATACATTAACATGGAAGGAAGAAACTATATGAAAAATTATAGCTTGGCTGAGCGAGATAATGTATGTATGTATGTATGTATGTATGTATGTATGTATGTATGTATGTATGTATGTATGTATGTATGTATGTATGTATGTATGTATGTATGTATGTACGTACGTACGTACGTACGTACGTACGTACGTACGTACGTACATACATACATACATGTATGTATGTATGTATGTATGTACATATGTATGTATGTACGTACATACATACATACATACATGTATGTATGTATGTATGTATGTATGTATGTATGTATGTATGTATGTATGTATGTATGTATGTATGTATGTATGTATGTATGTATGTATGTATGTATGTATGTATGTATGTATGTATCATACAGGTTAGAGAAATTAAATTCGTACTCATTTTTTTTTTGGTGATGCGTGCTTAGTCGTGACGGTATATGGGTTGGTGCATGCAGGCAAGGCGATGGGTGCCATTTACTCGCGGACCTGGGTTCGAAACTCGGTAGAGTACGAATTTAATTTCTCTAACATGAATGATAGTATTGTTTGTATTAAACTATTATATCTGCCCACTATTATCAAGATTCTACTACAGAATCCAGGGATAGCACAGTCTGTTCTGTCTGGTATATATTTATAATTCTTTGTAAAACAAAAATCCTATATACCTTGATTTCTTTCATAGGAATCTGGAACGACAATGGGTATATATGAGAATTAATTACTAGGTCGTCATGCGAGTGTGTTTGTTACGCACGAGCTTCTATAACAACGATTCAGTGCCATCATTTTTTTTTTTTTGGTGATGCGTGCTTAGTCGTGACGGTATATGGGTTGGTGCGTGCAGGCAAGGCGATGGGTGCCATTTACTCGCGGACCTGGGTTCGAAACTCCGTAGAGTACGAATTTAATTTTTCTAACCTGTATGATAGTATTGTTTGTATTAAACTATATATATATATATATATATATATATATATATATATATATATATATATATAGAGAGAGAGAGAGAGAGAGAGAGAGAGAGAGAGAGAGAGAGAGAGAGAGGGAGAGAGAGCTGTCAAAACCAAATCCTTGGTATAATGGAATCTCTACTAGATCGATTTTATTTTCGTTAGTGTAAGACGAATCTATTCAACTTTATTACCATCATTTTCAGACTCAGTAACCGTAAATCATTAACCATAAAAGCCCAAAACATTACAAATTTGGATCCAAAATTTCAATTTTACACGAGAGAGACATTAAAAAGGTGAAACTCATTTCAAATTGGGAAATGTATTTTAGCTAAACTGTTGCCACACGCTGGAATGTGCACTATGTCTAAACTGCTGCCACACGCTGGAATGTGCACTATGTCTAAACTGCTGCCACACGCTGGAATAAGCACTATGTCTAAATTGCTGCCACACGCTGGAATAAGCACTATGTCTAAGCTGCTGCCACACGCTGGAATGTGCACTATGTCTAAATTGCTGCCACACGCTGGAATAAGCACTATGTCTAAATTGCTGCCACACGCTGAAATGTGCACTATGTCTAAAATGCTGCCACACGCTGGAATGTGCACTATGTCTAAATTGCTGCCACACGCTGGAATGTGCACTATGTCTAAAATGCTGCCACACGCTGGAATGTGCACTATGTCTAAATTGCTGCCACACGCTGGAATAAGCATTATGTCTAAATTGCTGCCACACGCTGGAATGTGCATTATGTCAAAATTGCTGCCACACGCTGGAATGTACACTATGTCAAAATTGCTGCCACAAGCTGGAATGTGCACTAGGTCTAAATTGCTGCCACACGCTGGAATGTGCACTACGTAGAGAAAAAGATGAGTTGGGTGGGGGTAGGTGCATGCAATGAGATTACTTGTTTTTGAGAACGAGTTGCTCGCAATTCTGAAGAGAATACAAGCATTATATCGGAAAACTTTAAATCATCTATTCAAAAGGGTTAATTATTTCTTATCACATGAGTTTGATGTTGGTCCTCCAAAGTTTCAAGATTTCATTCCCAGAAATTTAAACGGGTCAAGTGCACTATTTAGATTCGGCTTCGATCATGCATACTTGAAACACCAAAAGATCTTACCTCGTGAGGCAATATTCAGTTCTTCGTACTTTTAGAGACTGATTATATAGCAATGGAACATTCAACGAGGAATATCAACACAAAAGGATAGAGAAGCAAACAAAGTAAATTATTAGCAACGGATGATTTCTTTTTTGTTTCATAAAAATGAAACTTTATTGATTTAAGCAAGAATTTAGTTCTACACACAAATGTGATTGTAACGACATAATAATAACGACCTTCCTAGAAAATGACGTCATATATTTTTCATCAGAATCCAGGGATAGCACAGTCTGTTCTGTCTGGTATATATTTATAATTCTTTGTAAAACAAAAATCCTATATACCTTGATTTCTTTCATAGGAATCTGGAACGACTATATGTATATATGAGAATTAATTACTAGGTCGTCATGCGAGTGTGTCTGCTATGCACGAGCTTCTATAACAACGATTCAGTGCCATCATTTTTTTGTCACTATTTGACCTATGACGTTTATGCATATCGGCTGCGAGATTTGGTTAGTCATGTGACTAGCAATGAAAATGGTGCGAACGAGGTCAAAATTCATGAACGCTGTAGTTACGTCTCGTCTGACAACGGATTAAAGACAAAATCGTGTTATGCTTAAAATTTCTGAGAAGATAAATGTTTTTCCTATCGATTTAATGTAATTATGGGTCAATGTAATGTCATTTAAGTTTGCTAGGCCTGATAGTTGGCGAGTACCCTATGCCGACACCAAATGATGTCGGCAAATTCCAAGTTTTTGATAGGGAATAGACTCTTACCCGACACCCCAACATAAAAAACCAAATATCAAAAATGGGTGTCAAGGGTCAGAGGAAACTCGGACTAGAATGATTTATACTGAGCAGACTCAACCTAAACTATGCATTTAATGCAATAAAACTGTTTGAAGAACATACATCAAGCAAGGCGCTTATAAAAGAACGAGACCATAGAAGCCAAATAACATTGTGAGAGATTTCTGCAGATGCCACTGCCTAGAAACAAGCATAATGGAGAAAACAAACGAAAAAAACAAACAAACACCCCCCCCAAAAAACAAACATATTATTAACAAAAGTATAGCATGTAACAATTGTATACATGGACTTATGATGAGATAGATGTGGGAAAAATGTCTACAGAAAAAAGAAAACACTGATTGGTGTTTCGGAGTTGTTAGGATCGTTGAAAACTGCGTTGTTAGGTCGCTACGGTTGCTGGCTGTATTATAGAAGTACCTTACAGGGCTGAGAATTTGTTTGGGACAGCGAACGAATGAGTATTCCCCTAAACAATTGAAGAACTTGTGCCGATGAACAGCGACCGCATTTATGTTTACTAAAACAAACACCCTTCGGATACTTTATGTTTGCAATTTGAGATAGTTTTGTTTGTAGTTGTTATGACCCAACTCTAGCACAGCCTTCATGTTTTAGATGCGTTTTAATCCATTTAGCTCTCCCATTCCCAACCAATTATCTAAGGATTTCATCATATTACCTACGATCAGCGTGTCGCTCGATTTTAAGGATAGTTTTCATGTATTGAGGAAGATAGGTACTAACCAGCGGATATGTTTCACATAGAACACCAGTGAATTTGTTCCAAGCGAGAATCCTATTGTTTTTGGACTTTCCTAATTTTTAGGACAATGCTATTTTCAGGACCTGTACTATACGTATGCATCTGAAATTTGAAATCCACATCTTGCTAGTTATTCAGGATGGCTTAGTGGTTATAGCTTCCGCCTCTGATGCGAGAGGTCGCGGGTTCGAATCCCGGTAGAGTCATACCAACAACGTATAAAAATCTCACTTTCAACTGCCTCGCTTGTCGCTCAGCATTAAAAAGTTTATGTTAGGACTGGTCGGCCTGGTGTCAGGATAATGTGACTAGATAGGACATCATGCTACAAGCCTCAATACTAGACATCTCTTTAAACTGCCACACTGCAGACATCGTAGCGATATGACGGAAAATTGTTTAAACCACGTTAAGAATCCAAAACACATATAGACACCCAGTTTATATATCCATATACTGATGCACTTACATAACATACAGTACATGGCCTGTATTGAGCTCGTTTCCGTCAGTTTTTATTAGTTACTTTAGCCTGGCACTCATAAAGACGTTTAATAACTTTGTCAGTCTTGAACATGTGCGTTTGTTTGCATGAGTTGTATATAGATATAAATAAATTGTTTATATCTCGCAACATTAATCGTTGAACTAGCAGCCAATAGACGAAGATTATGGATGGGTGTGTTTTAGAAAATGATCCACGTACAGTACTTCCTATTGATCTTTCCTCTTTCGTGAAACGCCCATGGGTAGATTGGAAAAAGAAAACGGATATATACTAAAAGGGTGAGTGAATGCCTAAATTTCACGCCTTGTCCTCATTGCTCCTAAAGATCCGGGATTTAAAAATTTATGTAAAAAAAATGCTAATTCATGAACGTTTCTGGTTCTAACTTAGTATATAAACAGGAACGCTGCGTCCCAAGCCCATAGAGGAGATTCAAACCAGCATCGAGACCTATTTTGGAAAATTCCGAATTATCATTATTTGTGACCCGACATGGACGAAAGGTATATTTCAATATCATCCTTTTAATATAAATGATATTTGCATCGATCATTTATTTAAATCTTTGTAATCGAACGAAAACATTATATTAAAATAATATACTCATGTCATACACGTCTCCTAAATCGCAGAGAGCATGTACATCAGCGTTAAAGGGTTGTGTCGGATTTGATAAGCATAACTATTAGTCATCATAAGAACTCTGTCAGTAAATATTTTCATGCCTAAATAAATCATTATATCTCGAAGACTGGAATACGTTCTTGGAATTTTTAATGGAATAATTCAACCTGTTTTGACACACAGACACATACACACAGACACGCACACACATACACACATATCTATTAGCTTCCAAGCAGTGCATTTCATTTTGTAAGCCATTGTAATTTATATTAAATCATGCAATGGACGAAATCTTTTGTTGTTAAATATACTGACAGTATATTGATTATATTTTCAGATTTGAACGTAGGAGACTTCCCTTACTACTTGGAATTTTGGTGTTATTAACAATGGCGGAAGGAAGACTACAATTTGAGAAAGACATAGACCCCATCACAGAACCATTGGATCCAATAACCAACCAACCCACAGCACCATCAGATCCAATCACCAAACAATCAATCCAACCATTAGATACCACAGCCCAGCCAATTGACAACATCGATATAACTATTTTTCAGAAAGTGGAAGTCACCCCTGAAGAGCAAGCCATGAAAGACGCCATTCTTGAAAGGATCGTATCAGCATCTCTGTCCACCGTGGAAAGAAATATTCAGGAGGCGGACGCAGAAAACAAAGCTTTCTTCGATCAGGGTGTGCAGAGATTCATGTATTGTATTTATATTATTCCCTAATTACTGTTTGAGAAAAGTCGCTGTTATCTAAATCAGATTTATTCTTCACTGACCAACCTACATTGTCATCATTTAGCAGGAATGAATATTACCTTTCAATTTTCAGAGTTCAAGATATAAATTTTGAATCGAATTAAAGCGAATGTAATGAGACAAACTTAACTTATAAAGAGTATAGTTTTACGCATTTAAAATAAAGTAACTGAAATGAATTCATTTTAAATTAAAGCCATATGTCGACCAAACATTGGTTATATTAACTGACGCGTGCTAATTGTTTTCTGCTATCTTTACCTGAAGGAAAGGGTAAAGTGATCACACACGCCAAAACATAGACTCTGTTCAAATAACATTTTTGAAATAATAATAATAATAATAATAATAATAATAATAATAATAATAATAATAATAATAATAATAATAATAATAATAATAATAATAATAATTATTTTTATTATTATTATAATAATCATTATTATTATTATTATTATTATTATTATTATTATTATTATTATTATTATTATTATTATTATTATTATTATTAGGCATCGACAAGGTAGGTGTAAGGAGTACGGATGCCTTCGGACCTCATCTGTTAACCAGTCCTCAAGCCTTAAAAATAGCCCCATCCGGAAAGATTTTTACCGGTGTATCCAAAGTTGCAGCTGAGAGGTAAGTAAAGAAAATATAAGCAGTCACCGAATCCTTTTTATTTAACATAATACAAGTTTCTTATTCTTTTGACAATATAAATATTTGTTAAATATTACTTTGTGGAAAGATTGCATTATAGTTCTATTAATAACATCTAGATCAATAAAGTATACCATATTTCCCAAATATTGACATTGTATCACATTGTAATGGACTTGGTGGTAATTGGATTATTTTATAAGTCCTGACAAAGTTAAGTAAAATAATTATTAAAAGTAAGAGAAATAAATAAAAACGGAATAAAGAAGAGTAAATAAAGATAATTATCTGAAAATTTGAAACATAATTCGCCTTGTTACAGAAAGTTAAATTATTATGTAATTTCATTGCATAGTGACTGCTTTTTTTAGCCAGCCAACCGATTTGATTCAAAATTTCTGTGATATAATTTGTAGTTAGAAGTTTGCTGATGACAGTAATCTAGTTTATTTATGTAGACAGGATGAATAAACGTGTTGCCTGGTTAGTCAACGCACTCTTAAGTGCAAAGCAACTTTGGGTATTAATGCACAGTTACTATGAAGCTTTTATTTTTATTATGTATATACTTCAAGATAAAATGTTCTTGGAATTTCAACAGTATAAGCATGCTTTCTAAGTCCCTTTCTTTCTTCGCATTCAATGATGTAGAATGTGTTCAGCGCATCCTCCAGCATGTCGTAATACTACAGTGGTCTAAATGAGATGGTACTCAACGAATTATAAACTTTATACAGAACGGGAAACTTGCTTAAATTGAGATTTTATTTTCAATTAACAGGCTCAATATTTCAAAAGAGAGCATCGAACAACAGTTGTCCAGGCCATTGCCAATTCTGCAACCATTCTGTGCTTTCTCAATTCTTCCGGACTGTACCCAGGCTGTGAACTCCCGATATCGAACCATAGACGGCTCCTGCAATAATCTGAATAACAAACTCTGGGGCCGATCGTTCACGCCGTTCGAAAGGATGATGCCAGCGCTGTATGACTCTTGTATGTAAAGTTATTCATTTCATATTCACAGTTAGTCCCAATTAATATACACTTGACATGACGTTTAATCTTGTGTTAGACAGTAAAGTACTGGATTTTCAAAGAAAAACAGGTTTGGTAATTTTCAGAGTGGAATACCAGAAATAAATGTTTCACTGCCCGGTCATTATACATCAATAATTTCAGCTCATTTTAGGTACACATTTGGCCTAGTGGTAAATATAGCAGACTGCTACGCAGAATCAAGTTTGCATTTGTATGTAATGTTTTGCTTTGAATTAAGAACAAGAATTACACGACTACCGATATAAACAAAACACAACAAAATATAAACGGTAAAAATACAGATATTGTATAAAATCTGCTAAATTGATATGTTATACACATTTCTAACCAATACGTTTAAGAATAAATAAGAAGAGCTGTTACTTGCTCCGAGTCAATAATGAACACATTTCATCTATTGGGTGAAAATATTAACGTATTAATTGAGAAAAAAAACTCAAGCATTCTTCTATTGTAAATAATACATTTTCATATTCTCGATGAATTAAATATATGTTATTAGTTTGATTAAAGTAAATATCATCTCTGGATTTAATCGATAAGAATATATAGCATTGCTCCCCACCACACCCAAATAGCAACACGTCAAATGGCGAATATGAGTAGAAAGGGAGTAGAAAGAATCCTCATAGTCTATGCTCTTTTGTGCGTCATGAGTTTCGGAAATACGGATATATGATCCTCTTACAAAGAGCAGTGAACGTTTCTATTCCATATGTAAAGATATGCTATTTTGTATCTAAGTGCATGCATGATACCATTGAAATTTATTGAAAGAAAGGAAGGCTCAAAATGAACCAGTAGGTAATCAAATAGTGGAAGCAAGGGATCGCTTCGGGCTTTTAACTTGCTTCTTACCCCATTCCGTAATGACTTGCTTTATACCCCATTCCGTAATGACGTTACAACCAATACCAGAAGCAGAATCTAGATGACGAAACAAGTTATTCAACCATCAGTTATCTCCAATTATAGTTGATCAACCAAGACAAACAAGCCTATTCCAAGGACCTCTTCCCCTGGCACGAACAATAAGTTCACAGTTCCATCTACAAAGTGTTCTTGGTAACCTAATGCCGGACCTCAGTCACATGGCCATGGAATTCGGACAATTTCTGAGTCACGACATTCAGCGGAATGCTTTGTCTACAGGTATTATTATTATTATTATTATTATTATTATTATTATTATTATTATTATTATTATTATTATTATTATTATTATTATTATTATTAATGATAGATCCATTCGTACTGCTCATTTAGTGTAAAACAAATAATTCCGAAGGAATCGTAATATATGAACTTGTATAATCACGTACAAGATCCTGCCCGAGAATTGGAGATTGCTATTAATAAATCCCTTTCATTGCTGTCAAATAATTTCCTAACGCCCTCTGGATATTTGTAAATTAAGGTATTGAGTTTGATGGAATTGTTCGTTATGGAATGAAATGCTCTGTGTAATGTTCTACCGCATCTCTATCACAATACTATTCTCTTTAGCTTGAAGTATGATTATTGTCAGATGTAGCTGGTTATTGTAATTGATGCTTTACTTTTGAAAAGGCAAAAACAATAT